AAAGTAAAGTCTATTTTAAAAGTTTCAAAAAAGAAAGAAAGAAGAGAGTAAGATCTTAAAATTCTAATGAGAGTAAGATCTAAGAGAGTAGATCATAAAAATTCTCATTAAAAAAAGAAAAAAAGAATGAACGAATAAATAATAGAAAAGATTTTATTCTATTCTAAATATTTTTGGTAACTCCACAGAAAACTAAGGATATTTTAATCTTAGCTAAATCACATTTTTAGTAAGTTAGATCTTCATTGATATCAGCTATGCTCAATTTTTTTAAAAAAATTATTTATTTATTTTTGGCTGCATTGGGTCTTCGTTGCTGCGTGTGGCCTTTCTCTAGTTGCAGCGAGCAGGGGCTACTCTCCATCGTGGTGCGCGGGCTTCTCATTGCAGTGGCTTCTCTTGTTGTGAACACGGGTTCTGGGCACGTGGGCTTCAGTAGTTGTAGCACGTGGGCTCAGTAGTTGTGGCTCGCGGGCTCTAGAGCGCAGGCTCAGTAGTTGTGGAGCACGGGCTTAGTTGCTACGCAACATGTGGGATCTTCCCAGACCAGGGCTCAAACCTGTGTCCTCTGCGTTGGCAGGTGTACTCTCAACCACTGCGCCACCAGGGAAGTCCCTATGCTCATTTTTTAAAAAATGACAGAAACTTAAATTTAATTGGAGTCCATGATACTCATCTCTAAATAACGCTAGTAGTTAATATTGCCACATAAGGAGCTTTTCAGAAAAAAACAGTTTTCACAAAAGCCAGGCATGTGAAAGTAAAAGCAGAGTTCCAGCCTAAGGAATTTTTTTTTTTTGATCCTTCAAAGGTCATGCTTGCTTTTTAACAGTCAGCTGCATTTTGGTGTAGACATTCAGTCATTCAGTTAGCCTTCCCGTATTTACTGGACACCTACTATGTGTGAGATTGTGCTTGGATCTGACACTAGAGCAATAAATAAGGCATGGTCCCTGCAGTCATCAGGCTCATGGTGCCGGGTGAGGTGAACATGAGAAAAAGCAATGCAATGGGATAAGTGCCAAAGGAGGCACAGGTAATATGGAAGCAAATTATTCATTCATTCGTTCATTTGTTCATTCAGTAAATATTTGTGGGTTAGGTACTATGTGGAAGGCACCATAGAAATGTAGGGGATATAGCCATGATTGAGATAGATAATCCTTGAATTTGTTGTGCTTCTGCCTGTTGTGGTTGTAAAGAAGCTTTGAGTTGAGTCTTTAAGAATGAGGAGTATTTATGGAGACACCCAAGGTGGAAAGGGTATTTCAGGAGGGAATATCCTGTGAACTCAGGAGTTCCCATGTCTTTGCAGAAAGGATGCTGGTATTTAGCTCTGGTGACCCCATCTCAGCACCAAATGACCCCACCTTGGACCCTCACAAAAGAGATGTATGAGGGAGCTCTTATTATGGGCGATGACTGCATTTTGTCTGTAAAGAATGACTATGCCCAGACTTTATTGTCATTTCATGGACAGTCACAGGCTGACATTTTAGAACATTTGATTTCCTTCCTTTTAATTACAGCCTACAAGGCTTATCAAAAGTATATCCAGGGCTTCCCTGGTGGTGCAGTGGTTGAGAGTCCGCCTGCCAATGCAGGGGACACGGGTTCGTGCCCCGGTCTGGGAGGATCCCACATGCCACGGAGTGGCTGGGCCCGTGAGCCATGGCCACTGGGCCTGTGCGTCCGGAGCCTGTGCTCCACAATGGGAGAGGCAACAACAGTGAGAGGCCTGCGTAACACAAAAAAAAAAGAAAAAAAAGAAAAACAAAAAAGTGTATCCAGTTCTATTCTTAGAGATCTGAGGTCTCTAAGCTTAGCCTTCAATTTCAGTCCTCATCTTAGATACTTAAATAGTGGTTGTTTGTTTGTTTTTTAACTCTATGTATGTATGTATATGTATGTATGTATATATGTATTTATTGTTGGCTGCATTGGGTCTTCGTTTGCTGTGTGGGCTTTCTCTATTTGCGGCAAGCAGGGGCCACTCTTTGTTGCGGTGCGCAGGCTTCTCATTGTGGTGGCTTCTCTTGTTGCAGAGCACGGGCTCTAGGCTCGCGGGCTTCAGTAGTTGTGGCACACGGGCTCAGTAGTTGTGGCTCACAGGCTCTGGAGCACGGGCTCAGTAGTTGTGGCGCACGGGCTTAGTTGCTCTGCGTCATGTGGGATCTTCCCGGACCAGGGCTCGAACCCATGTCCCCTGCATTGGCAGGCAGATTCTCAACCACTGGGCCACCAGGGAAGTCCCTTAAATGGTGTTTTTTAACATGTTTTTTTCATTCTTAAAGAAAGGTTTATCGGTTGTCATGGACCTGAGTATTCCTTCAGTCTGAGAAACACAAGTGAAGACATAGACAGATATTGATATATTAGCCTATATGTAGTTGGAACATTTCATAACTTCAAGGATAAGGAAATCTAAAATTCTCTGTTAATATATAACTATATCCTTAAAAGCTTTCTTTTTTTTTCTTTTTTTCTTTTAAGGCATCTTGAGGGGCTGGAATATTCTTTTGAGGACCTTCCTCTCTTACTTTGACTTGTATTGCAGATAATAACAAATGCCACTTGCTTTTCTCTACATAATTAGAAAATCAAAACAACCAGACGTTCTACTCCCCAGTCTTCCCCAGCTTTTGCTTTCTTTGTGAATAAGCAAAGGATAGGTCAGGAAACTCTTATCAGGGGCTTATTCCCAAGGATACTGTCCTGGATGTCGTCTTCAGCCTATGTCTTCCACTTGTGGAGAATCCCCGAGAAGCCATGTCCTTACCATTGATCGTTAGGTACTGTAAGGTCACGGGAGGCCTCTGAGTCACTGTGAATTTGATCATGCAGCCTGCTGTTAGTCATCGGTGTATTTTCTTGTGTTCTAATTCTTTAAAAGTCAGTGGTTCCCTGTGGGGAAAGCAACGCCAACTCTCACGGATGAAGAGGCTATTTCTGCTAAATTTCCAGATGCACGTTAGGACATAATTGTTCACAAGTGAGGGAGCATCTACCTCCTATTAAAAACAGTACTCACAGGACTTCTCTGGTGGCACAGTGGTTAAGAATCTGCCTGCCAATGCAGGGGATACAGGTTTGAGCCCTGGTTCGGGAAGATCCCACATGCTGTGGAGCAACTAAGCCCATGCGCCACAACTACTGAGCCCACTTGCCACAACTACTGAAGCCCGCACACCTAGAGCCTGTGCTCCGCAACAAGAGAAGCCGCTGCAATGAGAATCCCACGCACCCCAACGAAGCGTAGCCTCCGCTTGCCGCAACTAGAGAAAGCCCGCACGCAGCAACGAAGACCCAACACAGCCAAAAATAAAACAAAAAAAGAAAAAGAAAAAAAAACAAAAGTACTCACTCCAATTATTGCCCAGTTAGCTAAACTAGTAGCTATTTGGGTAAAGCCCAGTAGAGGTACTCATGGTGATTTTCTGTCTGAACAACTGATTTAGCAATTGAGCATTAGATGTTGGCTTGTCTGAGTAAGTTATGTGATTTTTAAACTCAGATATGATTGTAGTTTTACTTTTGAGAAATAACTCTCTTCCTGTCAGTTCCTAGGGGAAGAGTGAGTCTCAGAACAGGAGGTCAGAGGCTCGGTGGTCAGTGCCCTGCCCTCTTCCTGCAGTACTGGTCTTTTGTGAGCTCAGGAAACACCACCAAGGCCACATGCAATAGGCATGGATGTCAGGGAAGCATTGAGGTGGATGGAGCAGCCCTGAGGACCGCTAACAAGGAAGAAGGGCTTTTTTAAAGGTGACAGGTATACCACCTTGACCCCAAGGGGTGGTCAACAAGGAACACAGCAGACATCAAAACTTCAAACGAAAGGACCATCAATATATGTGCAGTGTAGAAAAAAACCTGCTATTCCCAGAGCAAATACTACATTAATACCTTTCTTTCTGGAAGTTACAAACCAAGATGTTAAAAGTGATTATTCTCTAGGACTGGAGTCCTTGCTTTTTGTATCTTCTAATTTGCCTACAGTGAACATGTCTTGCACTTAGAAGGGGAAAAAAAGTTATTTGTAACTATAAACACTTTAGATCACTTGCATGCCTGCTGCCCATCAAATTATTTTCCTTTATTTATGTTCCCTCCTAGGCTTTGCCAGTTCACACATAATTTCTTTGGAATTATGAAGAGATGTATTTCTGCATTCTATTATTTCAAAGTATTATTGTACATGAAAAACAGTTACTAGAGACTTTCTGTGATGCGAGCCAGGGTAACCCAGACCCCAGTCTGATTCTTCTCTCGGTCTGACGAATCGGGCCTCAATATAGCATGCTGTCTCACCTGTTCAGCAGTCTTGTGATAGGACCCATTTGGACGATGAAGTGTCAGAGCATGTATTTCTCTGTTTTTCTGCCTGTAAAAATCTATAGTTTGTCAACAACACCGTAAATTATTTGGAATAAGAAGTTTGTTCAGTGGAAAAGAAACATGAATAGGTTTAGATTTTTATGGGGCTGAATCAGCCAAATCAAACACAGGCTGTCCTGAAGCTTCCAAGTTTTTAATGGAAACTCACGCTCTTTAGAACTTTGCTGCCTAATTATAATTCATGCCTTTTGCAGATACATTACAGGGTGGACCAAAAGGAAAATGTTAGATATGTCCACTTGTGATTTCTATTGTGTTACTCGTGGAGTGCCAACTGCATACGTCCAATGGCCTGGTGCGTGCAAAGACACAGGCCAGATCCCTGCAGGCTGAGCCACTTCAGTGGGAGGGAGGACGATAAACTTGCAGTATTACAAATACAGAGGACAAGCTCAGATACAGAGCCAGCGTTCTGTATGTGGTTGTGCAGGAGTCGCCAGTGTCAGGATTCAATTTAAAAGTCCCATGACAACCGTAACCCTAAATCAACCCTCATCATTGCCTTCATCAGCGATGTCCTTTCGAAACCCAGAAAAACAGAACCACCCAGATTTCGTTTTAAGGAGAACTTTCTTTTCTTTCTTTTTTCTTCTTTTTTTGAATAGGTTTAACTGGTGTGAAGGGAGATAAAGGAAATCCAGGCATTGGAACTCAAGGTCCAAGAGGCCCCCCTGGGCCAGCAGGTAACTCTTCCTACCTAACAGGAAACTTCAAGATGGAAATCCTAAATCTCTATATTCACTTGACATTGCAGGTGAGGCAAATGGCCATATTACATCCTTGTGTCCAACTGGAATGGCCATATTTCTTGTTCCTTTCATTGGAAGGCCAGTTTGTTAGTAACGAACCTCCCAATACACAAGCCCCCAAAGATACAGCATATTCTGGGATCTTATTGTTTGCATGAGTTAGGCTGGGCTAGGCTATGCTGTAGTAACAAATCAATCCCCAATGCTTAGTGGATTGATACTTACCCAAAGTTTGATGTGGGTAGGGTAACTTTCCCCCCATTTTGGAACAAAAGGCCTTGAGGAGAAAGATAAAGGAGGCACATCAACTTCCTGACTGCAGGATGAAAGATGTCATTTCCAGTCATATTTCACTGGCTGAAACTAGCCACATAGCCCCAGCCGACCTGTAAGGGAGTCTCAAAATCTAGGGGAACGCATGGATATCTGATGAACACTCGTAGTTTCTGCCACCATGGTCACCTTACTGAATGAGTTTTGTGTATTTTACTATGTGCTTTTAGAATGGCTTCCAGATGATCATACTCTGTTATTAATGTTATAAGTTTACAATCCTACTGTATATTTACAATCCCCGTCTTAGCCATATTGAATCAAATGACTTACCGATTTTTCTTTCCAACCTAATGATGATTTTGGAAAATACCTTTTGTAGGAGAGATTCCTAATGCAATGGATTCACTTTGAGTATAAATACTCCTGTTATTAGAGATTGTATGAGGAACTGATCTAGCTCGTGCCTTACGCAGAATGAGTGGTTGGTGAATGTTAATTGAATGAAACTGAATGCATCTGAGAGTCACAACGCTTTTCAAATATAAGGTGATACGTGTTCCTAATTTTCATTTTGGTTCTAGTTGAAGAGTTTCATTTCTAGTTGAAAAAGGCCTTCTAAACACTGTTCAAATCCAGGCCTAAAGCAAAATAAAACAAACGCATAAACCAGAAAAATTCCAGACTGACATACTTCTTAAATTCACAAAAATTTTAATCCCCTTCTCACTTTCACTCAATGTAAGTTCTCAATTGATTCAAGCTAGCCTAAAGAAATTTTGGATTCGTATATTGGGTCCAATTTCAGAATTCTCATTTTTCTCCTCCAGTATAATTTCTTTCAAATTTAGACTAATTTATTCCAATTATCTGGGGCCATAAATCAGGATAAGTTATAAGGTTGAGATCAAGTGTGTTCATGTGTGTGTGTGTGTGCGCGCGCGCGCGCGCGCACATAGCCATACATTGAATTCATAAGGAACCTGCATTGGGAAACAGAAGCTCCATAAAGAAAACAAGGTTGACAGTGGTATGCTCCTTTCCCTTTCATATCCAGGAGGTGATAAAAAAAAAAGACTACATTTTGCTTTCTGGTTTCCTGAGCTGATTGAAAGCATTGACCTCCAGGAGAACATGTGATTGCAGTATGATCCTCTGTCCAGGAAATCCAGTTCAGGAATAGAACTCAATGAGTAGAGAGAGGCAGGTCACCCTAGTTGTTAAGATGTGTAATATCTTAACTTCTTGTAAGAGTTAGTTTACTTCTTGGTAGTCTGAAAACTCACCCTGTGATGATAAAAGGCCAACTGTTTTCATTGGTGGGTACTTTGTAGGACCTTCCGGGGAAAGTCGGCCAGGAAGCCCTGGACCCCCTGGCTCTCCTGGACCAAGGGGTCCACCAGGTCACTTGGGGGTGCCTGGACCACAAGGTCCTTCTGGCCAGCCTGGATACTGCGACCCCTCTTCATGTTCTGCCTACAGCGTAGGAGGTAAGTGTCAGCCCTTGTGGGCTTTGAGCAATGTCTTGCTATGCTTAGTATCATAATGGTGAGGGTGCTATAAAAGCAGACCTATTATGGGCAGGAAGCAGAGCTTGAATTGCTCATAACCTTTTAAATTATCCAGAGGCATCTTCTGTAAAGTACAAATTAATATAGAGGCTACCCCTGAAGAGGAAATTTAAAATAATACCACATCTAAGTCTTCCTTGCTTCCAAATGGCGATCCACACAGATTTGGCCTCTGACCTCATATCTGATCATTGAGGGACATGTTTGAACATTCTTTGGGGCCTCTCATTCTGTGTTATTTCTGTGGTGTGGCCATGAAGTCCTCTAAAGTTTTACTCTTGTTTTGGCGAAACCTCAAACTTAGAACTTTCCCCGTAATTAGGAGGGCCCTGGAGATACTGTTGGGTGACATCCTGCCCACCGCATGCATTTTAGGTCACCAAGGATTATTTTAAGAAACAAAAGTGGCCATGCTGTCCTTGCCTCTTACTAACTACTAGACTGAGATTCTGAGAAGATTATGCTTCCTGAAAACATCTGTGGTCTGCATGCTGGAGGGTTGTGTAATGGGACATTTTCTAACATAGTCACACTTGGAAGCATCAAGAGAGAGGTTCAAAGACTGCTTTGGGGCAATGAGCTTATTAGCCAATGAATTAAAATTTAACCTTATTTGCCAGAGGGACTGGTCAGAGTTTTGCTGATGTGTTTTTCTCTGTTCATCTCTTCCCTCCCCATTCTCTCAAATATCCCTGTCCCTTATTAAGATCTGATCCCTTACAATGATTACCAGCACTGATGTGGAACTCCTCCACTGATTACATTGGCCTGGGCAATTGGCTGCAGATACAGAACTGTCCTGTTGACCACCACCACCCATCCCCTGCCCCTAACAATGGGCACTCTGTTTCCCTGCCTCACCTGCTTCCCTACCTGCCCACTGTCACATTTCTTGCCCTCCCTGCTCCAAGCACATACAATGATAAGACTGGAACTTAACCAAATCACATGTGTCAGTTGTTATAGAAACTGACTGCTCCATATCAGCCTGAGCGTAGGTATAAGATTGTCTACCAAGAATTATCCCAAGCTTCCCTAGGTGAAGGCCCAGGAATAGTTACTTAAATGTGTCTTTTCCTCTTTCCTGTACCCACACAAATTGCTGGGCATCTTTCTCCCTGACCACCCTACTATCCATTCTTCCTCTGATCACCTCCCCTCCATACTGCCCCCTGGTGTTGGACTTCTAACATGAGATGGGTTTTTAAAATTGATTTTTCTTTCCTCATTCTGCTGATATTTCAGGGTTTCTTTTGTAAATAAAACATGTAATATTTAAGCAGTTGGCTGTGATTCTAGTTTCCTAACAATTCCTGCAGTATACCTGTACCTTCCTCCTTTCACTAACCATCTGAAACCTCCTGGCAAAGGTGCAAGCAGTGTGGTGGATAAAGGTAGCTACTACTTTCTACCCGAGCAGGATATCTCTGTACTTTAGAGACTATGTCTCTATGGACCCATATAAGGGGAGGATATCAATTTATGGTTCCTGGGTTCTATCACGTCCCCACCCCCACTCTTCCTCTCTAGTTCCCCATCCTGATGAGCCAGAATTCACCCCTGTCCAAGATGAGCTGGAAGCCATGGAGCTGTGGGGCTCTGGGATCTGATAGTCTCAGGAGAACTTGGAGGACCAACCGCAAAAGCTCCTAAGGCAACTTATTCAAGAAGAATGTCATTATGTGGTTTGTATGCTACCTTTGGGGGGGGGCTCATTTCACCAGCCTACACCTCCTCCTTGGATATTGTTAATAATATTGTTATATTAACAAAAAGTATGTTTTAAACAATTCCCCTTAATCCATGACACCATAGGATTGATTTCTCTTTGTTGTTTTAATGGCATGCTCAAAGAAAAATTGGCCAAGAAGTTTGAACTCTGGAATCTTTTCTGTGGTAGATGATCTCAAGTCCTAAAATGCAACAAGACAGATATGACTGTCTTTGAGGAAAATGGGGTCCCAGCAGAACAGGAATTCAGAGGGACTCGAAGATTATGCTTTTATCCTTATCCCCTCTAGGAATGACCTTGCTGAAAAGAAAGAAGGGACATGATTGGAGAAACTACCTCTTGCTAAATTGATCTGTCCAACTCTGAGATCACTTGGTAATTAGCTCCACTGGTATCCAAGAATATGTGTTTGAATATAACCTTTCTGAATTTGGTGATTGTAAAAATAGATTTAGTTTTTTCAGTGGCTTTTGACATGTAAAATAATGACTTCCCACTGATTCTGATGGAAAAAGATCCAATTTTGATGAACAATTTATTCAGCAGTACAGTATGTTCCAGAGCTTGCCCTCCTTAACCACATGGATTACTTTGTACATGCAGATATATTTTTGCAAACCTATTTCCATTCTTTTTTTTAAGCAAATAAAAATTTTAAACAATGTATGTGGATTGTTTTTATTTTATTCCATTTCTATATGTCACCTTAAACTTTTGTAGTCTTGGCTTAGGTTTAACCAGAAAAACGACAGCTGCCTACCTTTAGACACTCATTCAAACATTCGTTCATTCATTCTGAGTGTGGTAGGATACTTAACAGAAAAAGGCAGTTGACTTGAGCCTAACAGACTGACAGAATTCTATTATTCATTTATAACCTACCAGACAGCAATGACTGTGAAAATGTAAGACTGATGCTAAATAAATGTTTGCCTAAAGAACTTATCTTTTGGTTTTAAGAAAAGCCTGAAAAACTCTAGAAGACAAAGAAGAAATGAGGTTGAATCTAATAGATTCTAATTTCTAAACTATAATTTGTCTTTTGCTCATAAAGGAAAACACTAGGTGTTTGAAAAAGATTTGGGTTCCATTAATTGTTTGTTGAAAATAGAAATGAAAGAGAACCATAAACTGAACGTATATTCCTTTTCCTCTGTAGCATCTCCCTAATAACAGGTAATTGTCAGAAGTAGGGATGGGGTCATTTATCACCAGAAGCTGGAGTCTTCCTGGATCAGGAAGGTCTCTTGAGATTCTTTGGGTCCCCTCACCACACAGATTGGTTTATCCAAAGTATTCAAAGTATTCAAACAAAAGGGTCTGTGTGTGCCTTTGGGGATCCAGGTAAACATAAATATATTTTTTGCTGCCTTTGCAAGAAATGAAAGAAGACAGTGAGCAGATAACCAACAGTGGTTCCCTTGTAGTTATGGCACATGCTTCCACATGTAGAAAGCAGGACTAATGAGGAGGAAAGCTTGCACAAGATTGAATGACGTGACCCAGAATCACCTGAGAGAACTCTTTAAATGACTGGGGTGTGTCACTAGTCATAGCTTTCCCTTGTATCTCAGATTTCTTGGTCTTCAACAAGTGAGTAGAGAGGATATTCTGTATACGTTAGTGTTTGGCCCTTGGAAATGCAGACTACTTATGTCACTCAGAAAACCTTCAGAGTTTGATATAAATGGTGAAGTATAAACCACTAGAGGTTCTAGTCCATTCATATCATTCTTTTTTTAAAATAAATTTATTTATTTGTTTTTGGCTGCGTTGGGTCTTCATTGCTGCGCACTGACTTTCTTTAGTTGCGGCGAGCGGGGGGCTATCTTTGTTGCGGTGCGCGGGCTTCTCATTGTGGTGGCTTCTCTTGTGGAGCACGGGCTCTACGCGCATGGGATTCAGTTGCTGTGGCACACACACAGGCTCAGTAGCTGTGGCTTACGGGCTCTAGAGTGCAGGCTCAGTAGTTGTGGCGCATGGGCTTAATTGCTCTGGCATGTGGGATCTTCCCGGACCAGGGATGGAACCCATGTCGCCTGCATTGGCAGGCAGATTCTTAACCACTGCAATACCACTGAAGTCCCCATATCATTCTTGAGTTGTACAAATACACTTGGCTTTGATTTTACTTGGTGATCTAAATTTGTTTATTTAGGCTATGGGAACACTTCATTAGTCTGGAATTTGTCATCACTTGGACCCAGTTCATGAGATTTTTATTGAGTGAAATGTTCATAATAAAAAGTGTAATTCAAATTCAAGATTTTTATGTTTACAGTACATTGCCTTGTAATAAAAGCTTATTTTGAAGTAATTTTTATTGACTTACCTATTTTGGCAGGAATATACTTATATTTTAATTTATAGTTTATGTCATTTCTGAAAGTAATAAAGTATCATTTCATAAAAGGACATTACTCCTCAGAATTTTCATCACTTTGGTTAGAAACTCTTGATTTCTAGAATTACAGGCTCGGGGCAGAGTGGTTGAAAAGTTTAGTTTAGGAGAAAATTGAGCATAAGTCGGAGTGTGGGAGAGTAACCAGGGCTAGAGATATAAATTTAGGAGTCAGGTGCATGTAGGTAGTATTTAAAGGCTATGGAAATGCATGAGATCACCTGGAACATTTCCCTACCTTCTACTATCCCTTTTTCATTTTTGTTTCCACAAGCTCTCCAACCTGGTTTTTCTTATTTTATTTTGAAATGTATCTCTCAGCTAAATATTCTCCAGACTACAGCCACAGTGAACTAGTTGCAAAAACACTTGATGCGTGCTCTCTCTTATTTATCTTTGGCATGCTTTTTCTTCCACTTGGGAAACCTTCATCTTTGCCCCACCCCAGTTTAAAGGACCTATTTATTTTTGTTTGTTTGTTTTCACTTTTATTATGAAAAATGTTAAACATATTGAAAAGTAGAGAGACTAGCAAATAAACATATACCATCACCTTTAAAAAATAATTTTTACCATTTGGGCATATTTGTTTCATAAATTTAAAGTATTTTGATACAAGTTATGGACATCATGACACGTCACCCTTAAATGCTTCAACATGCATCCCTGAAAAACTAGGATATTTTCCTCAAATCCACAATTGCATTATCACACCTTATGAAAGTAACAGTTATTCCATAATAACATTTAATTTCCAACTTCCCTCAGTTGTCCCAAAGAAGTAAAGGACTTACTTTTATTCATATTCACCATTTGAAACTAAGCCAGGGTCCTCTTCCTGTGTGAAGCCTTCTCTGAACCCCACCGTCACCACCTGGACAACCTCCATAACCATGACACCATAGTCCCCTTTTCTAGTGAGTTCTTTAACCTCTGAGCTCCCATTTTACTTGTGTGCATACTTTAAGCGGTCTCAGACTGTCCACAGTGTGCTTAGCACTTAATAGCTGCTCAGTAAATGTTTGTAGAATCATCTCACCCTAGCACAGTTTGATTTATAATCCGAGTCAAATCATATACTCAGTCTCCAGTGGGAAGAGTTTCCTCTAGCTATAAGCCAGAACATTTGGGAGACAGCAATAATGCCTAGGAATGAATGATCAGCTTCTTAGAAGCTTGCAAATTCAGATCTGTTAAGTATTTCAGAATGTGAGGAAGAGGTATTTAAATCTTGTCTTCCTATACATGTATTCATTCATGTGTTCATGTATTCATCCATCTCTTTGTGCATGCATCCATCCATCTATCAAACTAATTATTATC